AAGGAGTTCGCCCGTATCTGGAGATTCCACGTCACAGCTTTCAATCCTGAGCCAGCTCGAGTCCGACAGCAAGGAGAAGGTAATCCCTTGGCTGTAAATCCTTTGCAGCATCCCTTGACGTTCCAATGGCTCTCACAGGTTCTGAACCGCTGCCAACGCCACCATTGCAGTGAGACATACTGCCTACGAAAGAAGAAGGGTTCAGAAGAGATTTCTTGCCGCTTTTTCTTCCCACGAGATACGAGAGATACGGCTGACGTTGTTAGACGACAAGGACAATCCTACTTCTCCTTCGAGGCGGCCAGGAATGACAGCCTTATGAACCACTATAACCGGTGTCTCAGTCTCGGCTGGTTAGCCAACATTGATATCTCCCCCTGTACCAGCCTTCAAGCTGTGATTAATTATGCAGCCAAGTATTGCAGTAAGATGGAGAAGCGGACTGACAGTTATGCCAGCATGGGCCGGCAAATCTTGCCCTATGTCTCCCACCAGAACCCACTTCTATCTTTTGCCTCGCGTCTAATGAACAAGTTGCTTACTGAGAGAGACTTCTCGGGGCAAGAGATTTGCCATGTCTTGCTCAACTGCGAGCTGCAGGAGGGTACCCGTGTTATAAGAGCCGTTGATTGCCGTCCCTATGAGCAACAGGGACGGTCTCTTCGCCTCCAAGGTGATCATGACGACGCTGAGGTCGTTGGGATATATGAGAAGTATCTTTCTCGCCCTCCCCTTCATGAAGAACTCACTTACCTTGACTTCCTAGCCAACTGGAATACCAGCAATAGGGATGGGAGAAAATGGACACGTTGGAGTCGCCAAGCTAAGCCTCGTGTATTATACTACTTCCCGCGGTATAAGTCTAACCACCAGCATCACCAATACGATGATTTTTGTCGTGTGAAGCTAATGCTGGCTCATCCACATCGCGACCCTAACGAACTACGCAAGATCAACGGTGTCGAGTATAACTCGTATGCATCTGCCGCCGAATTCTGTTATGGGAACCACCGGCACCCTGATGATTACTACGGCACACCTAACGCCGAGGAACGTCGACCAGATCCGGATGAGTTCGAGGAAGAATTTCACGAGC